AGCTCTTTGCAACAATTTTCAATAGTTCCGGTCATTAAATACAAAAAAACAGACTTTCAAAAAAAGGTGCGTAATATATACATATATATATTAGTAATAGTAAATTACTTATAAATAATAGTAAAAAACAAATAATAAATAAATAATAAATAAAGTATGAAATTATATCTATATCATTACTTCCCCTTCCTTATTGTTAGAAATAAATGACAAGTGCTCTGAAAAGAATGAACATAAGTTACATCAGTGTTTGTGTTAAACATATGATACTATATCAACGTAGACTTCTGCAAGTTTTCTACATTCGCATTAACAATAGTTTATTCAGCTGATAGTATAATGCCGTTAATTTAAGGTCACACTTTTGTAGTGATAATAATAGACTAAGTAATAAACAGTGGTATCAAGGTCTCGATATAATTTATTATATATAATTTATTATAATTTTATTATATATAATATTATATTATATATAATAAGAATTTTACAACAAATTGACATATAACTAACAAAAGTATAACTATTTCTTTAATAATTTTTCTCGTAAAATCAATTCCCGCTGTCTGTTTAAAAAAATCGAATCGTAAATAATTTGTTTAAACAATTATTGATTAAACAAATGAGAAAAATTAATTTTTCTCTATATTTGAACATGTTCTGATGCCGTGTCTTGTTTTGCATAATTACGAAAAGCCTACAGATTATAGTTTAGGCTCAGGCATTAAGGAGTTAATGTTCGTGCTTAAAGTTTATTAAAAGTCTCAGAAAGTAACACTTTAAAATCATGATAACATAGTTATCATCTTTAAATTATAATTAATGATAATGTAATTTGTATTTTTTTTATTATGTGGGCAATATTTACCTCGACCAATGCTTCCGACAGCTTGTAACTGTTGGTATAATTCGGATTACTAATGAAACCATGCACCAGGAAAACGATCGGCATTGACAAATTTATACCATCGCAGACCTCGTCTACACCGATCTTCTTGCCATATGGATTGTCTCTGGAAAAAACCAATGAATCACTAATCCACGCGCGAGCACCACAAATATTCAAATATTTTTATCACATATACGTAAAATGTGCATTTCCCTTTTTACAAGAGAATATTTGTGCATATTGGGAAAATAGAAATCACCTGTTGTATAAAACCATTGATACTGATTCCACTCCGAAAACGCATTCGGGGATCACCGTGTGCGTGACATTGGATACAACATTCTTGATATCTGACACGGTATCTTTCAGTATGTTGTCAGGCTTTAGCTTTAAGTTATCTGCAACGGCATTTTCTCAATACTTCCCATTCCTCTAACTGATTTCATCGATTAGTCACTATGTTGCAATGAAATACAAAATCGTAAAAGAACAAAACAGAATGACGCGACTCACGTAAATCGTCGATGGCGACTCAATTTTTTACCATCTTTCATTAATCTATATTAACGATTCAAATCACTAAGAAGCAATAAAGCAATTTAAATCAATAATAAATAAAAAATAAAATGTACAAATAATTTATAGGTTAATATCTAAAACTTTTATTTTTAAAATTTCTCTTCATTTTTCTTCTCTATTAAATCTTCTTCCTTTTCGCAAAAATGTTGCGCAATTACGTTTTACCTGCAACATGTAAATATGCGCAGAGAATGACGAGAACCGCAGCGACGGTCTTCATTATACACAAAAACGAATATTAACAAATTAAAGAACGCGAACGACTGCAGGAGTTGATCGTCTTGCAATTTCATCAAGTCCCGATGCTTTTATACACGAGGCTTACAAAAGTGTGACCTTACAGCCTTATAATAACGGCTGAGTAAACTATTGTTAATGCGAATAAACTTGCGGAAATCCTTGTCGATATGCATGATAGTCACAAGTTTCGCATAAACACAGTTGTAGCTCACGTTCACTCTTCTCATAGCGCTCATCACTTGTTTCTAACAATAATGATGCCAAAGTAATGATATGGAAATAAATGCGTTCTACCACGCGTAATAAACCGACTACTTACAATGACATACGCCGCATCTGTCCATATAATTGCTGCCATGTGCAAAACGTTTTTGTTCATTATCAGTTGAACTTGAACTTATCACTTTTGTTCATTATCAGTTGAACTTTATTGGAAATGAACGAGTAGTATTGGTAAATGCGCAATTCATATATTTATGGAGAACGTCATGTTGGTTAAATAAACGAATAAAGAAGTTTGTAAGAAACTTCCTTTTACCGACGCACGAGTAAAACTCGCCGGAAATCCTCTTCTCTTCTTCGTCGAGGCATCCTGTGAAAAATTTTAAAAAGACTTTGTATAAAATCGATTTCACGAGGACTGATTCAACCAACTTAAAAATATCATGTATTATCTTGCTTCAGAAGATTCATTTCTTTCTTAACCGCGATGTTCTCGTTAAATTGTTCATCCAATTTTCGCTTATTTTTCGTTGGATGTTTTATTTTGCCCGGAAAAGAATTTTTTATAACGCCACTCGTTCGCCTCACATAAGATTTAGTTTATTCCTTTGGAGTCCGGCAGATTTATTAAATCTCATTGTTATCTAATTGTTATTTCTTATTTTTTGTCTTGCTATATAGACTCAAAATGCGACTGTTATGTTATAAGTTATAAGAATAAAATAGAATAATAATTTACAACACTTTTAAGTATTTTCTGATCTTTCTCAGGGACTTGACTTAATTTGCTAACTATATTCTTTCTTTTTAAGTTTCTTTTGAATAAATTATTCTACGCTAATTAAGTTTCGCTTTAGATCTGCGTACAAACTCGAAAATTTGCGAAATCGTCCTTGCAACTGCATCAAACGATCGGCTCGCCGAAATGGAGTAAAAATGATTAATAATCCAGCACTTTTATGTCAGGTACAGACAATTACTGCATTCTGAGATGTAATTACTATACTCATGAAAGATTGATATCAAAGTCTAAATATGATAAATTAGCCGCGCTCTCTGATAAATCTACGGGGCTTTAACGAAATTGGAATTATTGAATAAAGATAAATTTGAAGTGAGAGATCGGTGTGTAATACATGTATGTCGTTGGTAGGAAACTTGTTAACACAAGTTGCGCTTCAATTTGTTCTCTCCTCATTCTCGTAAGTAATGTTCCTTACGCCAATATTTCTAGAACTATGAAATATGATTGTTGATACTTTCTGCGTATTATATTAATCATAAAATTAGTTTCTTTTTATAGGTAATTTCTTTTCGCCAATTATCTCAAGGACTTCGAGAAAAATTGACAGTTACGCAACGATAGCACAATTTGATCTAATCGCACAAAATAAATTTTAGTTTTTCTGACATTTCCATACGATAACTTATGTAATTACGTGCGCAATAAGTCTTATATTACATCGTTAAGGAAGATATACAGAGTGTCTGAACTCACAAAGGAGTCGCGGTGTACAAGTATATTAGGACAAACTGAACAAAAAATTCCTCTGCCATTTTGCGAACAATATGTAAAATTCTAAGTTATTAATTAAAGTAAAATATCTCAGTAATATCTCAGTAATATTACAGTAATATTTCTGCTATATTAAATTATAATAAAAATGTAATATTATTGTAATATTACGTGCTATGTAGGTAATGCTATAGAGTAATACAATGATTATTGCAACAATGATAATCAGTAATGGTTAATCAGTAATGATAATTATTAACGGCACATAAGGAGCAAGCACGGATGTCTTAGTGCTATTAAATACTATTACTTTTTTTAATATTAATATGATTGTGGGAGGATAAAATTGTCCAGTATGTTAAACGCACGTATCGAAATTTTTTTCTTCGATTATCGTACGCGGAGAATCAACCTTCCATACTTAAACCGATCCTTAAGTCCCAATTCTTTTAAATATATATTTTTTTATTAAAATCCCAAACCCCTATTAAACCGATAACTCAAATAGATTCCTTATATATGTTGCGAAAAAACTGCCTCCGCCAGGACTCGAACCTGGAACCTCCCCACTTTCCGGGCGGGAAATGGGGGTTTGGGATTTTAATAAAAAAATATATATTTAAAAAAATTGGGACTCAAGGGTCGGTCTAAGTATGAAAGGTTGATTCTCCGCGTACGATAGTCGAAGAAAAAAATTTCGATACGTGCGTTTAACATACTGGACAATTTTATCCTCCCACAATCATATTAATATTAAAAAAAGTAATATTAGTATTTAATAGCACTAAGACATCCGTGCTTGCTCCTTATGTGCCGTTAATATCTCACTATTAGTTTATCTATTCAAAGGAGCTTTCTATTATTTCGATAATTATTAAGTTCTTCTGATGAAGTACTGATATGAATTATTCCCTAATAACGAGATAAATAAGCATCAACTTTCTCATGAAGTAGTATGAATTGTTTTATATCTTGTCTTTTTAAAATTAATTTATTGTTTACCTTAGATCATTATATTTAATTGAAAATCTAAAAGCAATCATAGTTAATGCGATTCGTTGATATACAGGGTATTGCACTTACATACAGGTCAGTATAACGGGTTGCCTCGTCGGCAAGCTTTCTTTCCTATGAAGTTTACTGCGTTCAATTTCGCGCGTGACAATTTCGCCAAGATTTACTATGACACGGTACGCCTGTCGACGAGGCAACCCGTTGTACTGACCTGTATCTCAGTACAACACCCTGTACATTATAACAATAACACTTTATATATTTTAGTAGGGTAAATGGCAGAGGAATTTTTCATTCAGTCCCAGTAAACACAAAATATCATCGATGTTACAATGTCAGCTTAATCATATGGTATATTAACTCATCATATGGTATATTAACTTATCATATGGTATATTAACGTAACTGTTATATAACATATTATATATTATATATTATAACTGTTACATAACATATTATACCATATGATTGAGCTGACATTGTAATATGGACGATACTTTGTGTTTACTGGGGTTTGACCTATTTTACTTATACACGTACATTGATGCATTTTGTGTCAAACAGACCCTATACAATTACGAATAAGGCAGCAAAAATAGCATTATAAGGTAGCAAAAATAGCTGAAACCGTCTTAAATGATTGCGATAAAAAACATCAAAAGGAAAAAAGCGATTGAAATCGATGGGATCTGTAGAGAATCCAATTAATTTCTATCGCCGTCTATCGTTTTCTTTTAGGAGAATATTTAATTGAATATGATATATAAAAGATTAAGTATATCGTACCGTTTCCTTAGAGTCTGTCATGAATAAAACATTGAGAATCTGTCGCAATCAATAGTGTATTGATAATAACGATAAGAAAAATATAAAATACTCTGTATTATAAGTAATTATCTTCGAACGCGAAATTTACCGTACAATTGCTATTGAATTTTGTCGTCTTTGATGAATTCGTTGGATCGATATGATCTTAAAACCATTAAATGCGTCATAATGATATATATTAACAGGGATAATAAAAACACGATACATTTTGAAATATATGTAAAATACTATTTTTCTGCGAATGCCTTATCTCCGCTAATGCGTACAGCTCTCATTTCTTGAAGTCTACATTCTCCCCAGATAGCCAAACCTGTGCGAGCAGATTTTACGCAGAGTCTGTCAACAGTATCTGTTGACAGAATGGCAACAGACTGCACACAGGAACTGTTTTAGCAGTCTCTGACGACAGATTGGTGACAGACTGCCCGCAGCGCCTGTCGATAAATTCTGACGACAGACTGACGGCAGATTGCGCGCAAATTCTGTTTCCTAGATAGGCTATTTAATTCTATTAAGGGCCATATGTACGTTATTAAATGGGGCAGTTTCACATACACACCATGCTGCAGAGAAGTCAAGATAATTATATTGTGCAATAATTGTACACATATACACAATAAAAAACAATGTTTATATTTTAAAATTGTATTACACATTTTTTATAAAAAAACAACAATAATAGAGAAATAACGAGTACAAGTATAGAATAGTACAACGGTTAAATGGCCATTTAAAGGCGTACACATGTCATTCCTGGTAAAAATTGTTCTCATAATTTTTCATACAATTTCTCATCTTATTATTTTTTTAAATGTTGTTATGTCATTAAATCCGATTTAACCGTCATGCAATAAGTATTGAAGGCAGCAGCACCGAATAAAATATTAGTCTCGCTATGTAAATAACTTTTACAGAATTTTTTTGATGGTTTATTTAAAAATATATCATGCTTCGATTTTGATAAAACTTAATACAATCTGAACGGGACGATCGACCAAATTAATTCGCACATGTAAAAGTACAGTATTTTATTAACATGATAGAAAAATGTCATTATCTGCTGTTTTATTGCAGTAATTTTCTATACATTCCTTGGTAGAAAATTAATTTCGAATTATCGTACCAGTCTCTCTTACATTATTTATACGCTAAACGGTTTCGTCTATATTTTGCGGCTTAAAAGGCGAACAAACTATAATATTTTTCTTCCTTAAACTTTAAATAGACAATACAAAGCGTTTTTTATCTAGTGAGGAATTGGCGTAGTGTCTAAGGCGACGGACGATTATCCAAAAGATGTCTTCAGTTCAAGTTTGAATCTCACTAGAGAAAATATTAAAAATTATGAAAAAATAATGTAGAAAATTTTTTTT